TAATTATTAAGCATTTTTTTATCATATCGACATTTGAATATACCTAATACATTTTATTCCATTTTATGCCTATAAATCAAAATTAAAGTTTTAATAAATTTATGAAAATGTACAATATTTATAGGTAGTAGCCAGAGGCTAAAATGTGTTATAATTGTATCATAATATCGAAATAATTACTGTTACTTATCAATTATCATCATAATACAAAACAATATGATATTTACATTTGGTACGACTGTTCAACTTTACGATGTTCAAACTCTCCATGGATCTAGGATCAGAATTGAATTATATATTTTATTTTTATCGTCCATAATATTTCTTCTGCAATAGACGCTAATTATAGTAAATAAAATTCAAATCAATTATTATTTATTCACTATCCTCCAGTGTATTATAAAGGTAATTATAAATAAATAATAGGTGCTCAATCATACTTTAAATAGGTATTAGACTTTATATATTGTTCGTCAGTTATGTTTTGMCTGCGCCCTGCAGTGACATGTATATTGAAATTTAATTACCTATATACTTACATACAATTTAAATTTGTTCCAAGTACAAACTACAAATAACTTGATTCAGACGTATCTTTTATTTTAWGTTATAACAAAATAAGAACTTTTTATACCTAACGACAATTAATGCATAATTTATATATGATAAAGACTTGAAATTAACAAAAACCTTATTTTATCTATTATACTCAATTATTTTGTTTGTTTAATTTTGTTAACACATCAAAGTATTTCTACATTCAGCTTTCTGCGTACAACAGTAATAAATAAATGCTWATTTCCAAATTGTAAAGTATGCCTAAAGTTGAATATGATATTTATTGCGTTCGTAAACTCAAAATACGTATATTTAGGAATATTCATTTAATATAATTGCAACGGTTTTTTGCACGGTGGGACGAGTATACTAATATATTTCATCGTCAAATTTAAACGCATACCTACCTAGCTATTATTGATATCACTTTATTTTTGGCAGATCAAAGGTGCATTAGGAAAAATAAGTGAAATGCTTATTCCCCAACCCCAGTGGCGCCACTAGGGGGGTGCAAAAAGGTCTTTAGCACCCCCAATTTAAAATTTAGCACCCTCTGTTTTTTATATCTAACTATTATTATTTTAGTGAAATACTATGTATTTTATGTTTTTAAATGATGGGAAAATTCCTGAAAAAATTTATAACTATTAGGTCGTATGATATAATTAGTTATTTATCTTATAGTTGAATATTGAAAAAGATTTATTCAATCAGTTACCTATAAACACCTAAACTATTTTGAATAAATATTTTACGAAACCCAGAAAAAATATGCTGATTTAAAATGTATAAATTATTATTTATTTAATAAGATTATGAAATTAAAATGTTTCAACATGTTACTAATATTGCAGTAAAAAAATAGTATTATAAATGTTGTTTTTAATATTATCAAATATTATAAATGTTCATTTTTGTAAAAAGTCTTAATATATGTTTTAAAGTTTCGATTTATCGATTAATGTTGAGCTATGTGTAGGGGGTGTAGGGGGCTTCGCCCTCACTACTCTGCGATGCATTCACAGATTTAGCACCCCACATTTTAGAGATCTAGTTGCGCCTATATATAGTTACGCCCAACCCCCTTAAAAATATTAATTATGCACTTTGGTGTAATACCTACGACATAATTTATAAGACATAATGCAGTGTTTCGGGTATTATTTCTGCAGTGGCATATTTGCTTTTTGATTGAAAGTATTGCATGCYTCACAAATTAGTCTTTGTTAGCCATATTATTTTCTATACCAATTAATAATTTTTATTGTATTTTTTAAGAACTTAAATTTACATTCAGTAAAATTATGGATTCAAATGAAACCTTCCACGGTAAAGATTCTAGTAAGACTATTATTTTGTGGAAAAATGAAATTCCTCTGGAAAAGTGTGCGTCTGTATCATTGCTCGAAAACCTCTACCAACATGATGGTCATTTATGCAAAGTACCCACCGGAATAAGTGAACACTTTTCAAATTCGGTAATAAAAACCTGCGAAAATTTCGTGAATGGAGTGATTGCATATTCCAAACAAGCGGTGCAGTGCTACTTACGAAGAAATAAGTAAATTATAGAAAATGATTGCCGTAATATATTCTTCTAAATTTATTCGAATAGTTACCGAACGTTTTAAATTATCATTTTAGCTATAAATGAATAATTATTGAAAAGAGGTTATAAACGAAAATCACCAACAATATTGTTGATTGTATAAATGTTATTATTAATCCAAATTATATTATATAGCTGTAAACTGACAAGATGTATAGGTATACTATATAGTTTAAATTTAGTATTTTCCGTATTTACAGCTAATTGAGAAACCTATTTGAAAAAAAACTTTTGAGTKTTTGACTTAAACTAAGACAAAACTAAACTATATAAATAAATTAGTTTTCAAATACCTATTACAAATAACAATGGTTCTCTTTAGTCACCTTTTGTAATACTTTTAGATTAGAATATTCCAATCCAGCAGACTATAACAGTGAAAATATAATGATTAATATGAACGCCGTACAAGCRTGCAAAGACGGGGCTAACTTAGATTCCAATAATTATTCATTATTTTCTAACCCGAGTTGGCTCAACGAAAACGGAATTTTCGACGACCAAGTAGCAATAACAAATATTTGCTGTTATATAAAACAGCATTGGAACTTGGAAATAAAGTACTTATACACTGTTGAGAAGTCATCATTAAAAATGTGTGACATTTCTTGTCACGGTTACAAGGTAATAGCCTCATTATTAGTATTATTAGTACTTAAGTATTATTTCAAACCGTTAAATACATAGCTGATTATTATTTGAGTACCTACTGTTTTGATTCTAAAATTAAAAAAATATATACATATATGTATATTGTATATATCAATTGAAACAAAACTTAATCATTTTAATTCTAAATAAAGTATAAGCTTAAAGCTGCCAAAAGTTTAAATAATTTATTTAAAAGTATTAATAAAAATAATTTGTATTACCTAAATCTC